TGAGCACAAAGGCCTCCTTCTAGGAGACTCAGGGTATCCATGTCGCAGGTTTCTGATGACTCCAAATCTCAGCCCAACTACAGAGGCCCTGCAGAGGTTCAACTCATCCCTCTGTAGAACACGTGTGCTAGTCGAGCAGAGTTTCGCATCCTTAAAAAGCGTTTTTCCTGTCTTTCAGGGAACACGTAGGTAATGAATTTTGTTTAAACTGCGTCAAGAATTTTCACTTCTTATATCATGTTTTGTCACTTTGTTATATGTACACTTTCAGAACATGTCCAGTCCAATTCTTTTTTAGGGAATGAATTCTTATTACTTGTAGAGCTATCTTTTATGTGTTTTATATCATTTTTACTCAATTAGACGAGAGGGAAGATATTTTATACTTTTATCTTACAACATCTTTAAAAATATTTATGTTTTAAAATCTTTGAAATTTTGACAACGGGCAGAAATTATAGGACGTCTGTTCGAGATACAAGAGGCATCCTTTATTTAAATTGCAGATGATGGACAATGAAATGGAATACGAAATCAAAAAGCTCTCCACATTTAATTTAAAACAATTTCAAAAATTTACAGGTTCAGGAAGCAGTGCTCCTTTATTTTTCATTGGAGATTTTTCTTACTCCATAATCGGAACTGCCACCTCGGAGGATTTGCAAATGGTTGCCAGTCGGGTTTACAGCATCATTAGACGAGACCAGAATCTAACTGAACCCCTTTTAAGTCACGTAAAGTATTTCAAATCGAACACAGTCGATACAAAGTGAACAACTTATCAACGGCACTCGGGAAAACTTGAAAAGGATGTAAAAGTTGCTAAACATATAGCTGACGTTCAGAATAATGCAGAGAAAACGTTTAGTTTGACATTACTGGCTCAGAATATTTCTTCATATTATCATAATATTAATAAAATACAAAGGGCTATGATAATTTTTAAAAAGGATACATATCATCAGTTTTCACTCCGGACTTCGAATTTCATTAAGCTTTGGATAAAATAACAGAAAAGACAAAAGACAGCGTCGGCAACAAAGAGCTTCTACACCGCAACGTTAATTTTTACAGAAGGCAAGGAACCATTGTCCGTTATCAGCGCTACAGTCAATATGGTTAACAGTAAAATTTATCATGGGCATGAAATCGAAAGAAACACTTTATGAGGGAAAACCATTTATCCTTCTTGGTACAATGGATTCTAATCACGCGACGACGACTGCTAACCTACAGAATTTTTTAGTGGAGCACAGATTTTTATCCGGAATGAAATATGCATTGCCTTCTACAGATGCTTTACGGAGTTCTTGTCAAATAATGGGAGAATGTATTAATGGGTTTAGTTTATTATAGAATGGATGAATCAACTGATTGTATATCAGAATTATTGAGAAACAATAAAGAGCCGATCCAAAACAATTGCGAGTTTTATTTATTAAAGGATCATTTACAGTAAGACATTCTTTTTCAGCCCATGAAATGTTGGTAACTGGAAGAGAAAATTTAACTCAAGTGTTTGAAAATGGTTGAAGGGAAATACCTGGATGCTCCTACTGTATGATTACAGTCCCCTTGTACCGTTCAATATGTTACCAACTTGGTACATATATAACCAGTTAGATTTTGGTTATAACGTTATAAATCTACTTCATGGACTATATCCGTTGTTTCAGCGTAAACGGGGAAGAAGGAATGTTGGCGTGTAATACAGTAGCGGCGCTGTGGGGCCGTAATACAATGTAAACGAGAAAGGTGCCGTATTCCTTATGGTCTTCCAATATGAAGTCCAAGAACTGCTAAAATTAGGTTTCCGTTTATTATAGACGATGGTAAATAACAATCAACATGAATTCAGCAATAGTTTACAAGTCGTAACCGAGTTGGATGTGGCCAGTAGAGCATCGGGCCTCCAAACTGAAGAAGGAATAATGGACATAGTTTTTTGTTAGATAGAGAGTAAACAATAATTGAATTATGACACTGGCTGAATTAATTGATGGACATGTGTTTCTTTCATATAATGGACATAAAAGACATTACTAAATAATTATATAAACAAAGTTATTGATACAAGATTAACAGGTCCCGAGGCATTTACACCTAACGAGTATCAATTCTTTTAACAGTCACTTAAAAGGCAATTGGAATGTCTTAATCCTGCTTCAAAGAGAATGAGACACAATCAACTAAATAACAGACATACAATGATAATAGATAGAGAATTCAACAGATAAACGTCCAAATTTAGTAAAATATTTTCAAAAGTTATTTATTTCAAAAACGTTAATTTTGCTCGGTGATACAGACTTCTTCAGAAATCTGTCATGGAGACAGTTTAGCAGAAGACGAGTATCAACATTTCACTAATCCGAGAATGCTGAAGAAATATTTCGTGGAAGTTAAGAGGTAACAGAATTCAACTATGGTTTTACAACAGGCAAGGATGATAAAATTTCAAAGAATGACTTTCATGACCAAAAAAAACAACAACAAACAAACAAACATTTTGTGGCTGTAGACAAGGATGATGATTTCAGGATGGTTATGGAGAAGGTGAGAAATAATGAAAAAAATATTCAATTGTCTTGACATACCTATTTTTATGCTTAATTACATCAGGCAAACCAGCTTTCAATAATAGACAAAGTTGCATTTGAAGTTCGTGATCTCAAAGAACAGGTATCTGATGTTGAGTCTCGACTTGATTAGCAATACTCGAGAAAGAGTTTCTTTAAATTTACAGGAATTCCTGAAATTCAAAATGAGGATACAACCAAAGTTATTCGGAACACTATCAACAACTGTGTTCTCTGAATACAGGTGCTATCAGCACCACATATGGGACCTCCTCTCACATGTAAGGAGAGACCGAGAGACATCAGTCTACGCAGGTAAGGGCTACCCATAAATAGAGTTGAAAGAGAGAAAACACAGTAAATGCAGTGGCTTTAACGGAGTATGCCAAAATGTTTAGAAGCATAAAGTGGAGATATTTCCTTTCTATTATGATATTTCAGTTGACCCCGCAAAGGGACAAAGCTTTCTGCGAAATCTTGATGTCCAATTAGTTATCCGAATGAAATGAGTACGTGTTGTAAAACTACTTGCATTTTGTTTAAGTCAAGTCGTTCTATAACTGACTCGTGTGCAAACGGTTAATTTAGTCGTCCCGACTGTCCCGGATTTCAGGTTTTATTGATTGATTGTATGTTTTACGTCCCAATCGATGATTTTTCACTCATATAGAGACGTCACCATATACCAGTGAAGGGCTTCTATTTTTTTTTTACCTTTACTTGGCACTTAGGGCGATTGAGCAGTGAGGGATCTTTATTGTGCCAACGCCTGTCGTGACACGGGCCTCTGTTTTTAAGGTCTCATCCGAAGGACCCGCAACTTTCACTTCAAAGTGCCGAGCGCATGGCCAAGGAACAGTTGCTACCCATTTTTTTTTTTTTATCGATTTAGGTCAGTCGCGGCCGAGATTTGAACTTATCTTTATTATCGATTCACTGAATTTCTTGAAATTTTTCAGGCTCATTTTCTAGGTTGCTACTAATGGCATAATCATGTTATTCAATTTGCGAATGGATTAAGTTTGACGTTGTACACGTTAACGTCATTACCTTTGTAAAACATTTTAAGCACTATGTAGTTATATAAATTTGATTTTAATGATAAAAACCATTACGTCTAAAATTGGCTTTTTCACAGAAAGCGAATTGAATAACATGAGTAAACACCAACGCAAGTTGTGTTTTTCTTTCTATAGAATGCAAGTGATCAAAATCCATAATAAATACCAGGTATTAAGAGCGAATGGAATAACATGAGAGTAGTATAAGGCGCCTAGATAGCTGGGTCAACTGAGTGCACTTTTTAGCCCTGAAGGGATGGCTGGGTCAACTGAGTGCACTTTTTAGCCCTGAAGGGATGGCTGGGTCAACTGAGTGCACTTTTGGGCCCTGGGGGATGGCTGGGTCAACTCAGTGCACCCCCGGGGTCAAGGTCAGAGATCTGGAAAAATCCACACGCGCTCAGCACGTTCTAAGATATGAGATGTGAGATCTGGAAAAACCTGCACGCGCTCAGCACTCACCTGGAAAAACCTAGCCATTATGACGTCATACACTGTATAAGTATTGCATGTGTCTGACTTGAAGCTCATTCTGTTGTCAGTTCCATCACCTGTCGACATGGATTCTGCTGTGAAAAAACTGTTACATGCCCAGCAACTGATGAGATGGAGAAGACGGGCGAAAGTGTTAGAAAGAATTATTTACAACAATAAAAACAGAGAATTAGCGCTCAGAAAAAGAAATGCGAGAATATTAGAGAGAATGCAGAGAGCCCAAGTCCAACAAGAACAACAAAGGACTGTGTCGGATGAAGAACCACACTCATCAGCCCATTCACCACCCCAGAAGCCAAAGGCCATTTCCCAATACTATCAAGTGAGACTGAAACAAGCCAAGCATTCCAGAAAATTTAAAGCGCATGAAGATGTCTACAGTGTGAATTTTAAGGAATTTCCAGAGGAGGAAAACAGAGGCTTTATTCGGCGATTATTTAGAGACATGCTGCAAAATGTCAAATATCAAATGCAGTGTAATCCTAACGATTACCTACGCCTGAACATACGCCATCCTTCTCTGGATTCCGACATTTGGTACGAGTTTACGCCATGTAAACATTTAAACGAGGACGTCATTTTAGACAAAATAGAAGCCGTTCAACAATCCAAGAAGGATTTTAAACTGGGAGACGGGGCCATGGAATTCGACATGTTTCGGGTCAAGTATCCGGAAGGGAGTGGTGGAGACAAAACCAAACATCTGATGGTGAACAAGGAGAGTTTTAAGAAGGGAAAAAGAAGTATCGTTCAGATCGACAATCCCTGGGATAAATTTTGTTTAGCTCGAGCCATCGTAGTCACCCGGTTATACAGTGAAAAACCTGAACACCCAGACCCCGAATGGGAAAAATGATGGAAACGCATGAGACTAGGAGATACTCAATCATTAAATCAGAAACGAGAAGCTATAACCCTCATGGAACAAGCCGGGTGTGATATCCATCGGCCTTGTGGACCCGAAGAATGGGGGAAATTACAACAAGTGTTAGCCCCATGCTATCGATTGAAAATATTCCAGTTCAAGTCCACCTCCTCTAAACTCAGTTTAGAGCCCGTTTACAAAGGCTACGGAGAGGGAACTTGTTTGAATGTCCTGTTAAACGACCATCATTACGATGCCATCATATCTATGCCTGGTGTGACGGGCAATCAATACTACTGTGATCATTGCGACGTGGGCTACAGTCATATTAAACACCATCGTACCCAGTGCCCTCACCGATGTTCCTTTTGTTTAACTAACACTCCCTGCCCTCCAGACGGGAGCCGCATTCAATGTAGCCAGTGCCAGGGATTTTTTCAGAGTAGGACTTGCTACGAAAATCATCTGCAACCTCACAGTAACAATACGGCCACCACGGTATGCAGTTTAATGGGACGATGTAGGCACTGTCAGAAATGGATGCCTAAAAAATTACTCCCTCATCATCATTGCGGAGGACAGAAACAATGTAAGATCTGTAAGAAAACCGTAGACACGGATCATCAGTGCTACGTTCAACTCAAGCCCAAAAAAAATCATTCATTCTGAAAAGTGTCCAAGTCAGACGTGTTTTAAAAGATGCAGTATCGTTGGTATTGTGAGAGCCCCGTCACTCAGTTTATTTACATGCAAGGAGGGTGGATGAAAACTAAACTAGGAGCGATCCTGGATTTCTTTGAAAATCATCCAGGACATTCCCTGGAAAACGTGTGGCTGGAAAAAAGAGTCAAAATCCCGCATCCTAAAGGAACTAGAGTGAGGGTGAAATTCAACCAGCATTACGAGCAATATAAATGGGTCAGCTGTACTCATCCTATGAATCGTTCGACACCGATGACCCTGGTTCTGAACGAAAGTCTCTGGTACTCCGACATAGCAGAGTGTGTGAGACATTTTTTCAAGATGAAGAAAAAAGAACTGACATTTTCAGATTATCACGACGTTAAACAGTATGTGTATTGTCGCATCCCCTTTTCCCAGATCAAAGACAATATGGAAAAGGAAGGACCTGGTGTTTTGGACAGAGTGATTGATTACAGATCAGAAGAAGAAGAAGAAGAAGAAAAAGTGTAAAAAAAAAAAAAAAAATAGATTCAATAAAATTAAAAAAATAAGAAAAAAAAAGTGTTGTTATAAATAGAAGGGTCCTAAGTTATTTTGTCTCAGTATCTCACTGAACATGGCCGAGAGCAGTGGTTTTTACATGACTTTACCCAGTGATGGGTCCATGCAATCTTTTCCGAGTAATACGACGGCTCAATTTAAAACCTTATTACCACAAACAGTAGATTTAACAGATGGACAATGGGAAGTGGCTTTAACAGAATTGATGTATCCCATTTCATTGAAAAACATCGCCGAAGAGGAAGCTTATTTTGACATCCTGCTTCCTCAGTTTTATGTTCCAAAAGTCCAAGAACCTAATGTGTTTAGATGGGGCAGATTTAAAATGAAAACCATAGAGGCCATGCCATTAAGCGAATGTCCTGTACTGTTAGATTGGGCCCATACTGAATTTGGTAATCTCATAACGAAAGACCAGAAGATAGAAATTAAGCGAATTCACTTTAGACCGGGGCCTTACATTCATCCCATGGCTTTAACAAGTGAAATCAGTCTTGGACTGGAAAGAACTTTGAAAAAATTATGGAAGTTTTTGGGTGATTCTAAAAAAGAGGGTGATTCTAAAAAAGAGAATGCCATGAAATTAGCCTATCATGACAAATATGATAAAGTGATGTATCACTTTAACGGGAGAGAACTTAAAAAATATCCCTTTTGCATTCGTTTTCCCACAGCCTTAGCTTATAAGTTAGGAATAGAAAGTAAGAAGGTGATGCTTCAGAACGATACAGAAACCAAATGGATCAACGTTAGTTACATGGGTAACAATACCGTAGATTTATATGAAAATCTGAAATCCATGTACGTGTATTGTGACTTGATTGAACCCCAGACGGTAGGATCCAATGCCTTGAAATTGTTAAGAGTGGTTCCTTGTACACTCAATCTGGAAGATAAAAAACAAGCTAAATGGGAACCCGTTAGAGCGGAATATTTGAAACTGAGTAAAAAACATTTCGATAGCATTGAGATTCATATCATGACTCCTTTAGGGACTCCCATGCCTTTTTTAAGTGGAAAATCGGTCGTGAAACTTCATTTCAGAAAAGTGTACTGAGATGAGTGTACATCTTTTTTGTTACATCCTATTGGGAGTGATGACTTGTCTGATATGCTGTCTGTATTGTATTCAACCCTAAGACAGGAGGGGTATAAAAAGGAGTCACTGGAGTGCATTTAGGTCAGTCTGACACGAGTCATGAAAACATGCAGTATCATCCCGGATTATTGAGACAAAGAGGACACGGACAGTTTGTCTATCATAGAGGTTTATTACGTCAAAAAGGACACGGTATTTTAGGATCCTTGTTTAAAGTAGCAGCTCCCTTAATAGGAGGATTATTTGGAGGAGGCCAACAGCAACCACCCCCACCCTATTATTATCCACCCCAAAACTATCAAAGAGGGGAAGGATTTTTTACGGATTTACTGAAATCGGGGGCTAAACACGCCTTGACCGCTGCTGCTAGAACGGGGTTAGACGTGTTAGAAAATAAGAGATCTTTAAAAGACGCTGTCAAAACTCACGGAGTACAAGCCCTGAAAAACACTTCGGGAATGGTGAAACAAAGAATGAATCTAGGAGGTACTAAGAAAAGAAGAAGAAAGAGAATGAAAAAACAGAGGGGATCGGGAATGGTGATTAAAATAATAAGAAGAAAAAGACGACAGAGAGGCAGAGGATTTTTTACGGATTTACTGAAATCGGGGGCTAAACACGCCTTGACCGCTGCTGCTAGAACGGGGTTAGACTGTTAGAAAATAAGAGATCTTTAAAAGACGCTGTCAAAACTCACGGAGTACAAGCCCTGAAAAACACTTCGGGAATGGTGAAACAAAGAATGAATCTAGGAGGTACTAAGAAAAGAAGAAGAAAGAGAATGAAAAAACAGAGGGGATCGGGAATGGTGATTAAAATAATAAGAAAAAGACGACAGAGAGGCAGAGGATTTTTTTTTACAGATTTACTGAAAACGGGAGCTAAACATGCCTTGACCGCTGCTGCTAGAACGGGGTTAGACGTGTTAGAAAATAAGAGATCTTTAAAAGACGCTGTAAAAACTCACGGAGTACAAGCCCTGAAAAATACTTCGGGAATGGTGAAACAAAGAATGAATCTAGGAGGTAGTAAGAAAAGAAGAAAAAAGACACCTGTGTTAGCCCGAGGAGGTCCTAAGAGAAAAAGAAAAAAACAAGGAGGAATTCAGACTAAGAAAACACGTCCTTTAGATATCTTTGATTGAGACACACTATAAATAGGGGAGTCGAGTGAGATTGACCTTCATTTGTGAAAAATCAATCTTAGTAGACAGACATCATGTTGCAACCAGATTCCTGTGCGTGTGGGATGAACAATTTACAATTGTTCCTAGTCCCCCCGACTAATATTGCTTTAGAAGACTCCAAATGGGAAGAATATTACCCCATTTCTAGTACTTTAGATTCGGATACGGCTCCCATTGAATTTGAAATTAAAGGACAAGGAGATCAATATCTGGATTTATCTCAAACGTATGTTCAAATGGTGTGCAAATTTACCAAAGACGATGGTACTAATCTGACTGGGGGTGGAAATATTTGCGCCCCGGTGAATAATATCTTACATTCCTTGTTTGCGGAAATCGATCTCAATGTCAATGGAAAAATAGTGACTCCTGGAACAGATACTTATCCTTACAAAGCTTATCTGGAGAAATTACTTTCTTACAAACCCAGAACTTTAATGACCCAGATGAGAGCCTGTAGTCTGTGGGAAAAAGATACGGCAGGACACATGGACGAAGTGAGGGTAGCAGACCTTGGAGTGGCTCAAAATAAGACATTTGATGTAACCAAGGGTTTACTGGGTGCTGCCGATACTGTGGTCATTGACGAACCTATCGTCCCAGAGTTACCGGCCAATTCTAGAAACGAAGGATTTAGAAAACGTCACCAGGCCATCAATGATAGTAAGAAAATAGCCTTGTTTTATCGTTTACATCTGGATTTATTGCAACAAGACCGATTTCTACCCAATGGAGTAGACGTCCGTTTGAGATTTAATCGAGCTAGACCTCAGTTCTATATGATGATCAAAGCAGGAAGTACGGGAAAAGTGAAAATATTGAACATGGTCTTGTGGGTGAGAAAAGTCAAACCCACGGCCGTCATGATGAATGGCATTAATCAAAGTTTGAACACTCATAGAGCTAAATATCCATTGAGAAGAGTGGAAGTGAAAACCTTTACCATACTGACAGGAACTCAATCTAAGATTACGGATCATCTGTTTCAAGGCCAGATGCCTAAACGTCTCATTTTAGGCTTTGTGGAAAATGCGGCTTTTAACGGAGATAAAACTAAAAATCCGTTTCATTTTCAAAACTTTGGGATTAAGAAATTAGATGTCAGTATCAACGGAGAGACCATGAGTACTCGTTGTTTTGAGCCCAATTTCAATGAAGATTTATATCTGAGATCTTATCTGAGTCTATATCAAGCCTTGGGAAAATTAGGAGAAGATTGGGCTCTGGACATCACCCTAGAAGAGTATAAAAACGGATACACTCTGTGGGGCTGGGATTTCAAGAAAGATCAAGAAGCGCAGTCGGACAAATTCCACATCATAGAAACAGGAAATCTGAGAGTGGAAGTCCAGTTTACGAACAATACGGTGAACACCTTAAATTGTGTGGTGTATGCAGAATTCGATAACCTGTTAGAAATTAACAAACAGAGAGAAGTGAGTATTGATTACTAATGGATACGGGACAGTTGAGAGAAGTCTTATCCAGAGAATTAAAGAGTTCTTTTGGTGGAGTGTACCCTTTGGATATATTACCGGATCAATTAAGACTTGGAGAAAAAGCCATCGTGGTGAATACGGATCCTCAAGATCAACCTGGAGAACACTGGGTGTGTCTGTACGTGAGCAGTCCAGTGGTGGAATATTTTGACTCTTATGGATTTCCTCCCTTACAGAAAGAAATTCAAGACTTTATCCAGCGTCATTCTCACCAATGGATTTATAATCCGTATCGATATCAAGATTGGAAGACCGATGTGTGTGGACAATATTGCGTGTATTATTTCCATCAAAGACACAAGTTGAGAAAGAAAGAAGACGAGTGGTTATTTCCCTTTGACCATAGTACAGCCTTACAAAGAGATCATTATGTAGCTCAATGGTTTAAAGACACTTATCATAAAAGACCTACGGGTCATGGACAAACTTGTCAATGTTTCTATCAAAATGTCATGTAATTAATTGTTGTCATCAATAAAAAGAATTGAAAAAAAAAAATAAAAAATCTGTTCTTGTTTTTTTTTTTTTTTTTTTTAAAAAGGGGTTTTCCCCATGATACTAAATATAGATAGAAAAAGGTATATAAAAAAAAGAAAAAGAAAAAAAATAGCCTCATTTGATCATGAGTCTCCAGGAGATA